TGTTCTTCCTATTTGGTTTTCTAGTTCCAAATCTTTGCATATTTTATTATAGTATTTGGTTTTATATACTCGAGCTGATCTTTGAAATTTTCTGTTCAGCTCTTGGTCCTCTAAGTGGTCTTAGATCAGTCTTATTTTTCTAATAGTTACATAGTATTCTATTATGGAGATATATCATGATTCTTTATTGAAGTATCTTTGTTGTTGTTAAGTGCTGTTCAGTCAGTTCCGACTCATACATAGTGTCCCTGCATAGGGTTTCCAAAGAGCAGCTGGCGAACCTGAACTGCCGACTTACAGTTCAAACCTATCTTGCAGTCTAGCACATTAACCTGCAGTACCACACCAGGACTCCAAGTGATTTTAGGCTCTTTAAAATATTTTCTTGTATACTGATTTTGCATAAACAATCCTACAAAAGATGTTTCTTCGTCCTTCTTTGACAAGGATACTCTGCCATAATCTCACAAATTTTAAATCAATTTAAAGCTCCAGGAAGTGTTTAGTTACATTTGCCTATCATATTTTTTTTCTCAAATCTACTGAAGCACTATTGTTGTTGTTAAGTGTCATCGAGTCAGTTCAGATTCAGCAACGCTGTACAGGGTTTCTGAGGAGTGGCTCATGAGTTTCAACCACAGTCTTGGTAGTTCAAACTGACGTTGGGGTTCAGTGCTTATCCTACAGTGAGTGCCACACCAGCACACTAGTAAACATTATCAATTGTTTAAAAATAAAGTGAGTACAGATCAATAGATGGGAGAGAAAATACCCATTTACTCCATATTTTTCAATGATCTCATTGTATAACATTTTTTATTCATGACAATAGTAAAAAACTACTTAGCATCCATCTGTTTTGTGCATAATGATGGATATATGGTAATGAATGCCAAGGTGTGAGGTGAGAGAGCATTATGCTGGTTGTGATGGCTGAGGTGATGTGTCAACTTCCATGGGCCATAATTTTTGGTAGCTATGTAATGATGTAATTTGGCAGTTACGTAATGATGAGGTTAGGCTATTATATCACATAGTTACTATCCATTTGTGATCTGATGTAATCACCCCTCATTTTCACATAACAAGCTGGTCTTTGAAGCCTACTCATGTGAATAAGTAAATAGTGGGTATACCTAGAAAGAAATGAAACTTTGATTAAAATTTATTTTTCTATTGTCAATGGTGATAAGTCTTTGGTGTTAGTTCTATATATATGCCACTAATATTTTCAAAAGGAGCTCTGGTAGCAAGTTGGGCTGCTATCCTTAACGTCAGCAGTTCAAAACTACCAGCGGTTCCGCGGGAGAAAGATGAGGCTTTCTGCTCCCGTAAAGATTTACAGCCTTGGAAATCCTGTTCAGGGTCACTACGGTACTTAACAACAACAATATTTTCAAATCTGAAAATAGAAGAAATTAAATGTTTTATCCATTTTCAAACAGTGGATTTTTATTAGAGTGATCTTCCTGTGACTATAAAGTGCTAAATTTTAAACACTCTGCCATGCTGACTATTGTCTAAATACTAAATACAGGCATACGTCAGAGCTATTGCAGATTTTATTTCAGACCCCCACACTAACATAAATTTTACAATAAAGTAAGTTACACACTTGTTTGGTTTCCCAATGCATATATGGAGTCCTGTCATGGTGCTGTAAGATAAGCACTGGACTGTTAACCACAAGGTTGATGTTTCAAACTCAACAGCCGCTCTTTGGAAACACTATGCAGGATTCAAGTCAGAACTGACTTGAAGGCATTTAACAACAATAACAATGCATATATAATTCATCTGTACACTATATGATAGTCTATTAAGGAGTGTGGTGGCTCCATACAGTAAACATTGGAGTGCTAACTGCAATGTCTGCAGTTCAACGCTGCCAGCCACTCTGTGGGAGAAAGATGATGCTTTCTACTCTCCAGAACATTTACAGACTGGGAAACTATATACAGAGTTGCTATGAGTTGGAAACCACTTGACGACACTTAACAACACCCATAATAGTTTATTAAGTGTACGACTGCATTACAAAAAATATTGAAATATGGTGAGAATAACAATGTGACACAATGAAAGGAAGTGAGCACACGCTTTTGGAAAAATAGCACCAATAGACTTGCATAATGCATGGTTGCCACAAATATTCACTTGTAAAAAATAGAGTAATTACAACATGCACTAAAGTGAAGCACAATAGAATGACTTATGCATGTACTCATAGGTGCTAACACATCTGTATTTATGTAAATATTGTTCTACTAGTTCATTTAAAGAGTCCTGGTGTGGCACTGTAGGATCAGCACTGGGCCACACGGTCAATCTGAACTGCAAGATCAATGGTTCAAACCCACCAACTGCTCCTTGGAAACCATAGACAAGGTCACTATGAGTTGGAACTGACTCAACAGCAGTTTATGTAAGGTTATGGATTCTGACGATTGTACCCAGAAGGAGACATCATACCTTCCTTGGTACAGTGCCTATACTGTCTTTTTGGTGAGGAAAATAACTGTACAATTGCTTCCAAACGTACACACAGATCAAATTTACCTAACGTTTAAGAGAAAATGATTCCTCTGCCCAACAACAGAATATACCAGACATTTTTTAAAAACCACATTTTAAAATTAGGGTTTAGTTAGGTGAGAGAATCAAGGTTACAGTGTTTCTCAGTTGTAAACAAATCAGTTTTTTTTTTAAATACATAAGAATGGCATCGTTTTAAATAATCAGTGAGTAAACAAAGGGACTTCAAAAAGTTCTTGAAATTTTTCACTTTTTTTTTACTTCAAGTTTCCGTTTTTTTTTTTACTTCAAGTTTCCGTTTTTGAAGCCCCTTGTATGTATGAATTGAGACATCAATGTTATGGTCAATGGAAATTGTGATCTTCATTATTTTTCAATATTTATAGTTAAATAGGTAATCATCTCATAATACCCTCCAAAATCATGAACATAAATATATGAAAGCCATGGGAATTAATTTTTAATGTATTTATATAACATTCTATTCATTTTCAGATTAATTTTTTAAAGACTGAAGTGGAACGAAAGAGCAAAATGATTCGAGACCTCCAGAATGAGGTAAGATTTGTATTTCAGGGATATTTTATATAAATTAATGAACAAACACTCTGACGTATATGTTTACCACAAGTTTAGAATACTGACTATATGTAGACTTAACTTTCACATATGTAGTAGTGGAAAGGAACAGTAAGGTTAACAATTTCAATGAATAAATAATTCCTGTCTTTATATTGTTTTTATTTATGTTATTAGTCCAAACTTTTATAACTCATTATAATTTCTAATTATCTTTTACTTCACGTAATATTAAAATAGATTGTTGTGTAGAAGTGTACTTAATTGTCTACCAAGTAGCATTACATTCAATGAAGAATTAAGCTATGCAGACATTGGCTGCATCCCAGTGTAGACTCAATCTGGAATGGGAATTTATTTAAGATAATCTCAGCATAATATTTGTTTGACAACAGAAGAAGTTGTTGTCATTTTTATGGCAGACTTTCAAATGTAAGGATCCTATAAAATCGTCTATATATTTTTCTGTTTTGGTTCTTTCTCTATCTTGTTATATAAATGCTTTATTTTCTACCCAATCACCATCACATTTCTATTTTCACACTATTTTTTTTAAGTGTACTTAATTAATTTGAACCTTAAATCCAAATAAATAATGATAAATATTCCTTATTTATTCCCACTAATTATAGCTTTATAGTTTATTTTTCATCACAAATCAGTCTCCTTAGTCTCTTCAATTTCCAACTCCCAACACTTTTTATTAAATTATTTAAATACTAGATGAGCTACAGCATTCCAAATGGTTTTCACCCGGAAGTTGGCGTTTTGCAATAAACTTTACAAATGCTTTGGTATCAAAAGTTAGCTACAGTACTGTGAAGAAGACATTAAAATGGTTTGTCAGCTGTGACTTTCTTATATCAATACCTTGTGTAAGGTTGTGGCATATTGCAGTTCTTTATGTTAGGAATTTAACTTTGCTTTAGAAACGGTTTCCTCAGTTACATGCAGACTCCATGAAGTTAGAAATTTACCTCTCCTACAATATTACAGGAGGAGCTCTGGTAGCGTAGTGGTTACGAATCGGGCTGCGAACCTTAAGGTCAGCGGTTCGAAACTACCAGCAGCTCCGCGGGAGAAAGATGAGGCTTTCTACTCCCGTAAAGAGTTACACCCTCGGAAACACTGTACAGGGTCGCTATGGGTCGGAACCGACTCGACAGCACTTAACAACAACAACAACAACAATGTTACAGGAGTCCTGGTGTGGCACTGTGGCCTAATGTGCCAGACTGCAAAGCTGTTTGAACTACAAGTTCGGTAGGTCAAGCTCATCCGTTGCTCCTTGGAAACCCTATACAGGGTCACTATGGTCAGAACTGACTTGATGGCACTTAACAACAACAACAAAAGTTTAACAAATCACACTCCTTACAGTAACAAAACAGGTCTAGAGAAAGAGAATAAATTCAGACAATATTTAAGTCTGTACTTAGCATCAAATAGTAGAAGCATATTCTCTAATTCCAAATTTGAATATTGAAGCTGATTTGTTCCTATAGGCTATTTCCTAAAATTGGAATATTGAGAGACTCTGAATAAAAGTTTAAAAACAAAGATTGATATCAGAGAATCTCTAACCATCCTGAAATGATTGAGAGAGAGATCAAGTAAAAAAAAAAAAAAAAAAATGAATAAATAAGGCATGGTGATCGGCTTCTGTAAATATTGTTATTGTTGTAGACAACCTCATATTTCTTCCATGGAGAATCTAATGAGTTTGAACCACCAACCTGACACTCAGCAGCCCAACAATTCCATATACATAGCTATTAAAAGAGCATAATGCTCAA